GTAACAGTTAAAAATTCGTACGCAAATGCATAAATATTACCTTGTAACAGAAAGTGCAGTTTTTCCAAATTTTGAAGTCCGATCTCTACAACTTTTTCAGAAATAGCATGCCTCCATTAAACACTATTGCAATCATCAATTCTTTGACAACTCAATAAGCGCTGCTAGTTGTTGTAGCTTTATCGGGAAAAATGTCGTATCCGAAGATTGCCAGGGATTTTTTTTAACTTATTTGATTTTGAGGAATCATAGCTTACTCTACAGTGCAGTAAAATAGCACAAACAGTACTGCTTGTATAGATAACATTCGGTTGTGCAGCAGCGCTAAGTATGCTTCTCACAAACAATTTTTTGTTAGAGTATATTGCAAATAATTCGAGCCGAGTACCATACCTTTCGCGATCACTTTATAGAAGCCAAATTTTCGCTTTGCTACTTTGGAATTTTCTTGTCGCTGAAGCAGAAAACAGCTTTCTTTTTTTGAACGAAAATGTTTTGAATTTTACTTCTTTTTACAGCAAAAGCTTCACAACTGGTTTGCGCTCGAGATATTCTCACGCGCAGAAGGACCGCAGCGATTATTTGTTTGCGTTGAAATTTCTTGGCTCAAAACCTTGCCCCTTATGCCAATTTGTAGCACAACTCACAAGCATTATTTTTTTATTTTTTTGTTTTACAATACACTCGATAGGTGTGCCAGAAACAAAAAAAAAACGAAAAGTGGAATGAACAGAAGACGTAACACTGAACGAACATGGTTGACTAATGGGATAAAATGTGAGGTAAACAAGGCCCCCGATCAACGGCTAGTAAGCTCTCCACATAAAGAATAAGCAGCAGGTAAGGCTGGTTAAAGACTAGACTTCAGCATCTTGCTGTCTCAATGATACCCCCGATTTGGTGTCAGCGAGGCTACGGGCGGAGGCTGGCTCCGAGGAGGAATAGGCTGGGAGAAGGCAAGATATGGCTGAGGTACTAGGCATGAAGATAATAATTGTTAATGATGACTTTTGAAAAGACCTGAGGTAAGGCAAGGGGCGGTGAGGTGAAGATACAGTTTCCTTGATATACGACAGGCTGATAAAACTAATCATGGTAAAGCACTGCAGCAACAAAAACACTCTCAGAAACATTAATGGGGGAAAAGAAGTAGATGGCAGCAATAACAGGCAGAAACACGGCACATCCGAACCGAAGCGATACATCAGTCAGGAAAACGACGATAGGACTCCTGCGAAAGCGAAGCTCTGAAGAGGGAATGGAAGCCATGGCGAACATAACAGCAACTGATTGACAACTAGAAGGCTGAGGGACATCGGGTTGGAAGCAGTCACTAAAAATCAGATATTTTCAGAATCTGAATTACATCAACATTTTGCAGTCTTCTACGAAAGATGGCAGAGTTTTCATTTGAAGTTGTTTCATCTGGTAAGGATGATAACCATCTTGAAGTGCGACAAACAAATGAGTAGAATGTGATCGAAAGTTTCTTTGTGCCTAATCTGCGATAATATAGATTAAACTTACCTACTCGTTAACTACATGGTCTAAACAACCAGTACTTACTGGCCCAGAGTCTAGTCTCCAAATGCAATATGCGAAATCCAAAACCAGATCATTTATGATACGCCTATACTTTAGACTATGAAGCGAAAGAAATTGAGTCGTGATACGATGGCAGTTGGGATAACTTGAATCGGGGTAACATCTGTAGAAGAGGATTCTCGTGAAAGTTTTCTGAATTTTTCCAAGTTTTTCAATATTTTTTTCAAAAAAGGGCTCCATACGAGATGCGTATTCAAGATGTGGCAGTACGTAGCTTTTGTATAAGGTCAGAAAAATCTTTGGATCATTACTATGTATATTATGGAAGATTGTAAAAAGAGCTGAGGAAGATTTATTGACAACAAATCAATATGGGTGGAAAAATTGAGTGTGTTACTGATAATCACGTCAAGGTCTCGTACGAGGTTGGAGAACTCAAGATCGACACCATCATAGTTGTAAGTGTGGAAAGAGGATTCACCTACTCAGATAACCGCCGGGGGCAGGCGGCCATGCGAATTTTGAGCAAGCGCGCACCGGAAAAATAGTTCGTTGATTTTTTGCGGCCCGCTTGCAGAAATTTGGAAGAAAGTTGGCAAAATTAAAGACGAATGCTTGAAGAACAATCGCGGTTTCTTTATGGATTAGCTGCGGCGCAGTGGCCGCATTCTCGCGGACTTTCCGCGAGAATATGCAAAAAATTTCGAGGGCCGCACGTTCCTTTGTGGAGGACCGCGCAACCCCCAGGTACTTTCCGCTGAGAGAAAGTACCTCAAACTTGAGTAATTAAACCAACGGTGACACCTCTGCCACACAGAGTCTTACCTGCACTCGACGTACGCCCGAAAATACCTAAAAAGAGTCCGAACGCTTGCTGAAAGTTTGGCCAGCGCTCGCTGGAAGATATTATTTGACGAGTGCTCGTCGAAAATTTTGTATTGCTGCCCGCTGGCAGAACGCGGAAGTACCGCCCGCTGAAGGTTTGGCCACGCCCCAAAATTCTGCTGACCGCCTGCAGAAAAGCGCGAGTTTGCGGACCGCCTGCCCCCGGCGATTATCTGAGTAATTGCATAACAGTAGTCTTGGAAGGGTTTACAGGGATATTTCAATCTTTAGACCATGATATCATTCTTTGAATAGAAGATGAGAGTGCATCAAAAGCAGCATGTCGTTGACTAGGGTCATAGCAGTAATATACTTTAATTGCAAAAATTATTGCAAGTTGCAAAAATTGCGCTTTGCAAAATACCGAATTTCTATCCAAGGAAAAGATTGTAAAAAGACAAGTATTTCTTGATTTCAAAAGCCATCCGAAATGAGTCTGATCCCACTCTCATGGGAATGAAACCTTGCTCAGAGGCAGAGTCCAGACGAATATGGACGTAGGGGGGATTTATGGAAAGTAATTCTGGGGCCCTAACTAAGGGAGGTCCCAAGCAGCAGCGCAAATAACTCACTGATGGCTGAAATATACGCCTCCAAACTGGACCCCAGGATCGTAATTCGCATGGATTCATTGCGCGACACATCAATTTCGCGTGGGTCCTCGCGCGAAAGCATGCAAACACGATGCAAACCGTCCGATGGATGATACGATCCTGGGTCCAGTTTGGAAGCGTATATCCCAGCCGTTAGTGAGTCATTTGCGCTGCCGCTTAGGCCGTGCCTCAGCTACTCAGAGAATTGCATCGGAAAGCTCGCGGCCTCAAAGCGTGTTACATGGCGCGCCGTGGCCCTTAAAATTTCAGCCGCGCACGCCGCGGCCCATTTAAATTTTACCGAGAACGTCGCGGCCAAGGTTGAAATTGGGAGGAGATTATCGGGAGAGTTGCGGTTCAGTCATCTCACTCGGCATGCGCCGCGGTCACTTATCGGGTCCAATATCGGTTTTTTGTGGAACGATTGATTATTCTCATAAATCAACTGTTGGTACTAGAATATTCGCCTAACATGATAGCTAATGCGCTTATTAAATGCTTAACCTTTAACAAAAGTATTTCTTCCAAATATCTTGAATTACATTCTTTCAAAAACACAAAAAAATTGTTAAATTTTTGTTTCAAAAACTTAAACTACTATGATCTTTGTAATTGTGATCTCATCTCCTTTTCTCTTGATCTTTTCGCTCTACCCTTAGCGTATAAATAGAGTTCCTCAGCTCACTTCCATGTATTACTGCTATCACTACTCTTCCCTACTGATGAGCCTCGGGAGTGGTCTACTATATACCCTAACCTGTATAGGGGTAGAGGCGAAACAGGCTGTTTAGTAATCTAACACTGTATACACTTATTTACCGATACTAGGATTTCTTACCCCCTTGAGGGCAACCCAGGAGGTATGGTAATCCTAATCGGGATTCTGTTTCCCTTAAAACTGAATCACTTAAAGTATCCCGTTTATTTATACTATTGTGCCAACTGGCAATTCAGGCCAACTGGTCAGCTATCAACAGATAGCATTCTCATAATTGTTGTTAATATTGATTTCATATATTTAGGTTAATAATAAGCGCATTCGTTTTGTTTATCTAAGACAATTATGCTAATTTCCTTTACGTACATGTAGAGCACACTACGCAGCAATTTTACATTATTATATTTGAATTTACAATTTGTTTACCCAGTACAGTTCATTTATGAAATCGTGAAGACGGATTTTACTGCGGACGTTGCGCCCACATGAGCATAAAACGCTCATACAAGAATGGGATTACTTCAAGGTTTAGCTCTGTCACTTCCAGTGTCTAAATATTGTTACGCGTAAGCAAAAACCATTTCACTAAAGATGAAAATCACGAAAATGCAAAATTTCCGGTGGTTGCGTACGTATTGCGCGCGGTCGCGCCATCGTCACAATCTTTCTAATGCCTTATAGGACATCTGACATCAAAACCGATAGCAGAAAGGGTACCAATTCATGAAACTTAGTCCCTTTTTTACATCAGATTTAGAGTTAGAGACTTTTCAAAACATACACCAGCATTGCAAATTTATTATCATACCAATCATTGCAAAAAAATCAGAAAGGTATTGATAACAAACAATAATGCTAGACTGGCATAGTTTTTGACTTGCAATTCAACGCTAAAACTGACACAGTTCTGATTGCAATTGTGTTCAGAAGAAAACTCACTAGCTGAAAACAGCTTAGGACTACCTTCGGAACACTATTGACCTTCATGATTGAACTGTAAAACGAAATGCATCAATTCTGGAGAGTTCCAAGTTTAGAAACGGAGAAAACGTTTTTAATTGATCTTCCATATGATCACTGACTGATTCAAAAGGAACACATTGATATCGATAGTGATACCGATCTGATATGTTCAGATAAGACAAAACAATACCGGTATTATTTCGATACAATGTGTTCAGATACCAGTCAATAGATTACCGGTAGCGGATTCAGATCAAGTGAACACCAACACAAGATAAAAATAGAAGAATACTAAATCAAAACTTGAAAAAATGGAACACTGAGCTAAACACTGAACTAGCCCCTAAATCCGCTTGGTCCTGGCATTGAACTACTCTGTAGGGCAACCTAAATAAATCTTCTTAGCAAAGGATTTCATGTTAAATTATTTTATCATACCTTCTTGATTTTCTTAGATGCCGCAGATTCAGATCCATTTGAAGGGGCGTTTCTTCCTTTTCACCTGGAAATGCAACCGAATAGATCAACACATTTAGACAATAGAGTTCAAAACAATACAGACTTACTACTTCGGCATAGTTTTCTTTATTGGTAGCCTGCGCTAATGATACCGCTTCTTGGTCCATTGGTTGAATAACTTCATTATCCTCCTTTTGGTCCTCCAACGATAGACCAGGAAGAACTAGTTCTCCTATTATGAGCGTACCCGCCTAAAATCGATATATATATAGATATCATGAAAATCGATAATTGCACTTAACCTCCTCTTCCTTCTTCAGTCGAAGGTCCAGTAGATCGTTTATGGGGGTGCCGTGCCAAGAAGGCAATTTCCAACCTAATCTTCGGCATAGAATAACAGGATCAAACAAAAACTATCATCAATACATTTACAATATACAGGAATCTACCTACCATACCGACGCCTTTGATTTCCACCTTTTCTTTCCTAATTCTAATATCTGGCACAGTTTTGTGCACTCTTTCGTAACAAGAGCGTATCTGCATCCGGAGCATTACACTAAACAGAAAATATATTCACAATCACAAGATTACAGTGCAATTCACAATCACAAACACACTGAATAACTTTTAGACTTACCAAAGTCGATTGAGATCGGTTTGACGGATCGTCTTTTCTTGCAGAATCATCATCTTTGTCCCATGATCGAGGTTATACTTACGCAAAACGTCCTTACCATTTGTCGTGAACCACTTCCAAAAGGTGTACGAGGTTTTAGCCTGTAAAGTAAGTTAGTAACACTTCAATTTGTAAAAATAAACATACTGCTATTATCTAAAAATAATTCCACAGAATTTCACTCACCATTATTCCCATCGTAGAGGCGCCTATTCCACATGGCCTAGGCCACGTAAAAGGATGACGATCATCATTTCTATCGTAACTAAACAATATAAACTTTTGATATTGTATACTTAAGGATACTTACCCTAACAACTTCAGAATATCCTCCAACATCTGATCGAAGTCTTTCCGCATTGAAGTCAAAATATTCACAACCTTTATGTACTCCGCAAGCGCACGACTATTGAATGCCTCCGCAAAACACTCTTTTCGTTCTTCGAGATCCATGGCTGCAACACTACTTTCGATCATACCAAAAGTTGCATCGTGAGAACAACTAGTACAAAGAAAAACAAAACTAAAAATGAAACTATCAGCCCAAAAACGGCCTAAAAAGTACATAAATCTTTAAAGGACTGTTTCGTAGCGATTTACCGTATGGCATATTTCCAATTTCTCATTATAGCATCTTTACTTATATTGACTAAATTACAAGTTATAAGCCCATATAATAGCAGCGCCCTATTGATCAATAATTTTGAAGTTAACACATACAAACCAACATGAGGGGACAGGTTGTTACCTCACATACAAGGTTAGTTTAGTTTTAGTTCTTTTTCACTTTTTCTCCAGTAATACTACCGACGGGTTCTACAAGTAGCTACTGGCATGGGAGGGTAAGTACTGCGCCTCCGGTGTATTACTTCTTTAGGGAGCGCCAACCCTTGGGAGCAGTCCTTCCAAAACTTTTTAAGTAACCTTCCCTCTGGTAAGGGACCAAGCCATTCTTTATCTTAGATGCTAGGCTTAAAAATAAACAAAGTACACTTAGCATTCACACTTCTTCTTCTTACTTTCAGGGTTCTTCTTTCATTGGGAGTAAGGTAGATGGCGAATACAACCTACAAAATTTTGGCAATGATAATGAGGGCACTAATTGCAAACCATCTTGTGTTATATATAACAACGTAATGATCCATGATAACTATTTACGATCAAAAATTACTAACTTACGTATCAAAACATATAAAAATTCAATTGCTAATTGGCAATCAAAAAATGTGGTTTATTGTCTTTCGTGTTGTACATGTGGCTTTCAATATGTGGGAATCACCACTAGGAAACTACATATTAGAATAAATGAACACCTAAGAGGCATAAAAAAAACTTTTTTACAAGCATTACTGTATAGGTAATTGTATTTCACAAAATTTCAAAGCCATCATTTTAGATAACTCTCCAGAAAACGCAGATCCTAATATACTTAGAAATAAAGAACTTTTCTGGATTAAATTACTAATGACACCCACACCTTTTGGATTCAATGATGCAAATTTTTCTTGATGCTGCTGGCCTTATTGGTTCTGATTTTGATGTGATATCTCCTGAAAATTTGCTGACATCTATCATGACCTTGAATAAGGACCCATTGAAAAATTACTTCTCTTTTTCTCGAAGAAGATCTTAGATGATTTTGACAGTAGCTGCATCGAATCAGAACTTCGAGGCAGAAGCATCGTCATCAGTGGGCTGGAAGAATCAGATGAGGATACATCTCCATCTGGACGCCAAAAGACGTCGAGCAGAAGGTGTCAAAGATTCTTGATATTGTCAAAATAGAGTGTAAGACGGAACGGGTACTACGTATGAGAGACCAGGCGGACCCCGCCCCCGGCTGGTCAAAGTGGTCCTTCTTTCAAAACTGTTCTTGTTGGAACTTGTTCAAAACTTCTTGTTGGAAGACCGCATTGCATATGCTCGTTTGCTTTGAACGAGCCCGTATTCCCAGGTTTTTATTAGGCGAAGCATGCTTGAGGAAAGGAAAAGGGAATTCGAGCATCGCCAAATACCCAGAGAGCGGTAGTGGCAAACCAGTAAGGGAGTGGGTGGTCTTGAGCGAATTGATAAGGATTTCGGAGCTGCCCCAACGTAGCACTCAGGGAAACTCCTAAAATTGCAAGGAATAGCTGATCCAAATGATAACTTGAAATGTTTTCTCATCAATACTCGAAGCCTTGTCAAGAAAGTCGATCAATTGCATGTTTTCTTGAATTAAGAAAAACCTGATTCGTTTCTCATTACGACTTGGTTGACCACAAAGCTATAAGATAACGAGATTATAGGAGAATTCCGTACATTTTGTTTAGAGTGGATAGGGAAAAGAAAAAAGGCGGAGGAATTTGCGTTTTACTAAAGTCTTCTATTGTAGCTCATGAAATCAAACACAGCATTGAATGACGAAACTGAAAGTGAAGTGACGAAATTTGAATGCTGCAAACAGAACTCTGACTGCAAAAAAAGCTTGCTTTTGGATGCAAACTGCCTTCTGAATGGACATATCAGTGAGTTGGATATCTTTTCCACATAAAAGAGTCATTTTACTGCATAGGACGGGGAACGGAACGGTTATCGTTTTTTTAATCGAGCTGGGTTGCTAAAGCTCAAATGGGAAGTTTACTGGATATTCTAGGGTGCCATTACAAAGACATTTAAATAATAATCGGTTGTTCAATAGACACCATCAAATCAAAATATAAGGAATAGACCAAAGCTGATTTGACTTTCATGTCCGAAGAAGTATCTCATTCTAATATCATACAAAAAAACCCATTTTCAATATTGTATCCATTGCTTGAACTCGTCAAGGGGCTGACAATTGGATCGCACAACGACATTTGAGCATTGTAGATGCACATTCTCTACGTTATTTGAGTTACAAAAGTAAAATATTCGAGAGATGTAAATAACATCAAAGCACCATTGCCAGATCTGCTAAAAATAGTGAAATTAAGAAAGATGTCATGGTGCGATGATGCTCTCTATACAGGGTGTCCCAAAAAAATGTTTAGAACGTTTGATCGTTAATATCTCTCTTCCCAAGAAGTCTTTTGCCTTGCTTCAGGTACCGTTTTGTAGAGCTGGCTTCAACTTAGATTTCCATTATAGAACGAATCACCCATCTCTTTTCATTACTGTAGGGTCACGGTAGAAACTTCAAAGAGGGTTTTGAACCATGAAAGGCCATATTTTGCCTCAAAAAGGAAACAAAACAGCCTGAAAACTTTTACACCAGGCTAATTAGAATTGCTGATTATAACTGTAAAGTTCCCAACTTATTATGATGCTTCACTGAAGAGTTATGCCAGGTGAGAGGTAGCGGCCATTTTTTCAATGTTCCTAAAAAGTGCGATTACACCATTTAGAAAGCTTCGTAATCTTGTGAATAGTTGAGTATTGAACTCAGCGTCCATAAAAATCCTATTATACAAGTTTTCACAATTTTTTTGAAAAATTTTGAAGGCAGCTTTTTCCACATTGACACCATATGTTTCAAGTTTCTACCGTAATCCTACAGTAATGAAGAGAGATGGGTGATTCGTTCTATAATGGAAATCTAAGTTGAAGCCAGCTCTACAAAACGGTACCTGAAGCAAGGCAAAAGACTTCTTGGGAAGAGAGATATTAACGATCAAACGTTCGAAACATTTTTTGGGACACCCTGTATATGTAAAGCAGAAAAAACAGAAAATCTGTGTGTCTGTTCACATTTCCCATAGTCATGAAGAATGAGCGATGAAACTAATTTTATTCTGCTGGTCACCAAGATATGGTAAGGACGCTAGAAAGCGAACCCAAGATGAAGCGATATAAAAAGAAGGGTAAGTTTGCTGCATGAGAGGTCAAGCACGATGAACGCTCGAGAGCGGGGTGAAACCCGGAATGCCAGGTGGTAGTTAATACAATTAGTAAATGGTGTAAAATTGTGTACAAAGCTCAAATATGCACCACTTTCTGACCTGCATAACAAGTGAGCATATGAAGCAAGTGTGAGATCGTTCAACGTTGCTGAATAAATGGGTACATTGACTTTTTCGTGTGTGGCAATTTTGTCAGAATCACAACACGTACAGCGTAGTGATTAGTTTACAGTTCCTTTACATGCAGTGCACTCACTACAGGTAGCGGTTTTCAAATAGTGATTTGCACTTACCCATCTGGTCCGATTAAAGCCATGTTTTAAGTATAAAATGTGAAGTCACGGATACGCACGTTATTTTATGAAATGGTTGCAAAATTTGTATTTCTGGGAGATTTAGGAGCGGCTGTTGTAAGTCATTTATTTATTGTAACGTGAGATTGAACTGTCACTTTTAGTACACAGGGATTGTGATCTATCTTGGCCAGGTAAAGTTAGAATCAGTGCAAATTTCTACTAATCATTCATGCATGCAATACGGCGTTTACTTGAATCCTTTATTCTTCAAAACTTTTGAGTTACTTGTCAGAAAAAATACCGGAGTAAGCCTGGTTAGTCATAACATCAACTCTCATGATGATTTTTTGAGTCAATTTTTTCCAGAAACTGGACTGTGTTGCAGGATTGATAGCTAAGCAATTTGCTCTTGACTATGCCAGATTACGTGCATCAATTCCGAAATTCCATTACAAGTATTATGGCCCGTAAGTTGGCAAGCTTGTTGTTTTCAATAGCAAACGCGTTCATTTTTTTTCAGTAAAAAGAACCCTACAAAGGCTGCTGAAGCAGTCGTAAGGGATTTTTAGTAGTTCGTCATTTGAAGGAGGTAAGACATAAATTCATTTGTAAATAATTTATATCGCAGAGAGGTTTTTGGGAGCTGTCACTTTCTATACTACACAAATTAACATTGCAGAGAACGTGCAGATCAAAAATAAGTTGCTAAAGCGCAAGAATCTCGTAGTAAGTCGATGTTGGCGAGGCAAAGATAGGTTGAATATTGTGCGATTTAGAATTTCCATTGCTTTTGCGTTTTATTATCGTCAATTACTGACCCGCTCATGCAAAGTCAGCAAAACATTAGTAATCTGATTTATTATTAGAAAAAAATAGCAAAGCTATTGACAAGTTTAACGTATAGAAACACGTTGACTCATTTGTGTTGTTATCCTACATAATTTTGATAAATCCAGTTTCGCTAATTGATTGAAACTTTCTCTCAGATGACCCATTGCAAGCATTTCACCAAAATCCATTTATGACAGAAGTTTGATTTTGCTGCACTTTTGGTTTGGAAAAACTTACATGGAATGGCTTGTAGAAGCAAGCGTGTATGATACGTATGTATGATAAGCTTGCTAGTGATGCTAACCAGGAACGGATACCAGCTTAAGTGGGCGACTAAAGACGAAATGCGTACATAAGTAAACCGTTTTCACACGTTGATTTCAATTCTGCATTCCTTGTCCGCGAAACAACTTTCCGAAAAAAACGTGTTAAGTGTTTGTCAAGCTTTGAATAACATGAAATT